GGAAAAGGAAGTTCAAAAGATTACTGAAGAAAATACTTCCTTAAAAATTAGAATAGAGCAATTGGAAGCTAGTAACTTTATGAGAAATCAAGACACTGTAAAACAAATCCAAAAGAATGAAAAATTAGAAAACAATGTGAAATATCTCATTGGAAAAACAACTGACCTGGAAAATAGATCCAGGAGAGAGAGTTTAAAAATTATTGGACTATCTGAAAGCCATGATCAAAAAAAGAGCCTAGACATCATCTTTCAAGAAATTATCAAGGAAAACTGCCCTGATATTTTAGAACCAGAGGGCAAAATAGAAATTGAAAGAATCCACCAATCTCCTCCTGAAAGAGATCCCCAAAGGAAAACTCCTAGGAATATTGTAGCTAAATTCCAGAGTTCCCAGATCGAGGAGAAAATATTACAAGCAAAAAGAAAGAAACAATTCGAGTATTGTGGAAACACAAACAGGATAACACCAGATTTAGCAGCTTCTACATTAAGGGACCGCAGGGCATGGAATATAATACTCCAGAGGGCAAAGGAGATAGGATTACAACCAAGAATCACCTACCCAGCAAAACTGAGTATAATTCTTCAGGGTAAGAAATGGTCATTCAGTGAAATAGAGGACTTTCAAGCATTCTTGATGAAAAGACCAGAGCTGAATAGAAAATTTCACTTTCCAAAACAAGACTCAAGTGGAACATGAAAAGATAAACAGGAAAGAGAAATCATAAGAGACTTATTAAGGTTGAACTGTTTACATTCCTGCATGGAAAGACGATATTTGTAACTCATGAGACCTTTGTCAGTATTAGGGTAGTTGGAGGGAAAAAAGTATATGTATGTATATATATAGATAGATAGATGAATGGATAGACAGATAGATAGAGAGCACAGGGTGAGTTGAAGATGAAAGGGTCATATCTGGAAAATAAAATTAAGGGGTGAGAAAGGATTATATTAGGAGAAGGAGAAAGGGAAAGGTAGAACAGGGTAAATTATCTCACAAAAAAAAAACAGAAAAGAAAAGGCTCTTACAGTGGAGGGGAAACGGGGGAAGGTGAGAGGGAATGAGTGAATCTTATTCTCATAGGATTTGACTTAAGGAGGGAATAACATACACACTCAATTGGGTATGGAAATCTGTCTTACCCTACAGGAAAATAGGAGGGGAAGGGGACAAGAGAGTAGGGGGATGACAGAGAGGAGGGCAGAGTGAGAAAGGGGCTAATCAGAAGCAAATACTTCTGAGGAGGGACAGGGTCAAAAGAAAGAACAGAATAAATGGGGAGCGGGATAGGATTAAGGGAAATAGAGTTAGTTTTTCACTGCATGTCTACTATGGAAGTGTTTTGCATAACTGCACATGTATAGCTCGCCTTTTCAATGAGGGTGGGTGGGGAGGGAGGAAGGGAGAAAATTTGGAACCCGAAGTTTTAAAAACACACGTTAAAAAAAAAAAAAGGCCTTTGTATCCTCAGCAGCTAACATAGTACTTTACAGACAGTAGATGCTTAATAAATGTTTATTGAATTGAAAAAAATTAAATTAACTTTTTAAAAAAAAGCTGAAAAGTTTCATTTCACAGGTGGAAAAAAAAACAAACCTAGAGAGAAGCTTAGAATCACACAAGTGATTGTGAAGCACAGATTAATCTGGCAAATCATTCTTCTTTCATCAGTCCTGGTACAAAATCACTGTAGAATCATTGTGATTACATTTGTCAGAAGATGGTATTTCAGCAAAAACAGCCTTCTGATATTTAACTGCCTAATAGACCACATCATGTTTTTTCCCCCAAGTCTGCCAGTTTCAATATTTTCCAGTGATTAGAAATTCTTCTCTTTCCCTGAAAATGAAGGCTTAGCCTTCACTAAGCGATCCATCCTGAGGAGTGCCAGCTAGACTTACCTGTCAGCCATCCTGTAGTGCTCCTCACCTGGGGGTGTTAGCACAAAGGTGCCAGTCAAAACACTCTAAGGCTCTGCCAGGCTGTGCCTGGCTGCATGTTTTAAGACAACAGTGCCACAACTTGTGAGTGTTGATAGCAAAAGGGCATGTGGGGTTAGGAGGATTCTCCTATTTCCTTCCCTACTTGCCCTCATCCTACTACTTACTACCCGTTCAAAAATCTGGACTGCCCCCTCTGCCTTCCCTGCTTCCAGGGAAATCAGCAAGAGTTGCAATCGATACGGTTGAAACCAATTTCATTTTCACTCCCCACTGTGTCACTGGGGAAGAGCTATATATAGAAGAAACAGGGGCAGAGTTCCATCAGCTCCATTGGAAGAGGAAGTAGAAAGGAATGAGGCACAGCTTGCAGTCTGCTCTCCCCCCACCCCCTCTTCTCCTCCTTAGACCAGCTGGTACAGAGTGGTAACCTCTGAGGCCTGGCAGAAAGACATGATCCCAAAGAGGATGCCACTGGTTTTCCTTGCTACTGAAGTGAAGCTCTGTGAAGCAGGGTTGGCTCTCACAGGGGCAGACAGAAGACGAGCATGGAGAGAAGTGTGGGAAAAGTAAAGAGGGGAGGAGGCAGGAAAAGCAGGAAAGGGGGAAGGAAACGAGAGAGGGGGAATGGGAGGAGATGGAAAAAGAAAGGCAGAGGAGGAAGAAGGGGAAGAAGAAGGAAGAGAGGAAGAGAGGAAAGGGAAGAAGAGGGAAAAGCAAAGGGAGAGGAGGAGGAATTGGGAAAGACAATGAAGAGCTGAGAAGTTACAGAGGACAAACACTACGAATAAAAGGAAATATTAGTCTAATGGCAGTCTAATCAAGGGAGAATTTGTTTAGATCTGATATAACTCTAGAAGGGATAAATTCCTGATGAGAAACCAGTCTCTTCTTCCAAGTGCTCAGGTTAAGTGTTACCATGCAACTCAATAACCTCACCTAGTGACAAAGGAAGGAGTTAGGAGAAGACAAGGTCCCAAAGCTCTTCAGATATCCAGATTATGACCCTATTCCCATTTCTGAGACAACTAAGGAGGTGGTTGAGAATGAGTTAGAAATGTGGACAACAGAAGGGATTCAAACTGTGAAAATCATGGGCGTGAGAGCTGTAAGAGCCCTTCTAAACCACTCAGACCCAAACCCCTGAGAAAAGTATGAAGCACAAATTTAACTGAGCGACCTAACAATACCCACCTAAAGATCACCACCACTAATCACTTACATAGCACTTCTGAAGCTTGTTTAGTGTCTCATACACATTTGATCCCCATAACAACCCCATGACGTAGGTGTAACAGGTATTATTATGCCCCTTTTACCTACAGAGGTTAAGTGACTTGCCCATGATCACAAAGGTAGGAGGTATCAGAGGTAGGGTTAAAACCTAAGAACTCTAGCCTCAAATCCATTGTTCTTTCAATGATACCATGCATGGTCTTCTAACCTCACTGTCTTGCTTCATCATCACTTGCCTGTAACAGATCTGGTTCTTAAAAAAAAAAAAAAAGAAAAAAAGAAAGAAAGAACAGCCCCATATCCATGATTCCAAGACTTTGCTTCATCTAGCGATAGAGTAAAGTGGCTTTGATAGAGGTAAGGGCTGGTTGACCAACCTGATTTCAGTTCAAATAAGAGGACCAATTCTCTGAGCTACTTGGTCCAAATTAACCAAGAACGTATTTCTCCAAATGTAATTCAATTTCCAAGCGAAACAAATTTGGTATACTTTAATACAGATGCTACCTAGTTAGATCAAAAAGCCATCCATCCACTGGGTGGTACAGACCCTGATGGGGACAACCCAAGAACCTAAATTCGAGAGCCTTGAGAGTATCAACTCTTAGCCACTTGGGAGTAGACAGTGCCCTCAGCCATCATCTCAGAAAACAATCCCTTTTGGAAATGCAGCGCAGCAACTGCTCTTGCAGGTACTACAGCCTTATCAATGGAAGATCTAGAAAAGTTCCCATCTCCAAAGTCTGTGGTATCTTCAAACAGTTCAACATCAGAGACTGATATAATGTTATCTGTGAAAATGACATTAAAGAAGAAGAATTAGCATTTGCTTTGTCACTGCACCCTAAAGACCAAGGGACTTTTCCATCTGATTTACAGCAGAACCCTCTCATTTCTGTTGTCTCTGTCATCAGAATGTGAGTTCCCTGAGACTTCACCAACTCCTGCTTTTCTACCTCTCTGCCCAGCACTCAGCACAGTGCTTTGCACCTCCTAAAAGTACTTAGTAAATGTTTTATTCATTCATTCATCAAAGGTACTCAACTTTCATTCCCTCCATCAGGCTGGAAAGAACTGTTTTTCTGCTTTGGTGAAAAAAAAAAATGGAAGCATGACATAATAAAGAAGTGATCAGAGTGTAATGGTAATCAAGAAAAAACCTTTTAAGGAGAAATAACTTTAGAGTCACATCTTAACATTAATGATGAACACACACTGGCAGAAAAAAGGGCAGGACAGTACAAGGGACAGGAAGATACCCTTGGAATCAGGACAACCTAGAGTAGGGGTGGGTGGCCTTGAGGCCACAGGGTCCCCACCCCTGACCTATATTTAAATCCCACTTTGCATATTTACTAACAGTGTCCACAAAGAAGTCTGTTAAGTCTCTCTGAGCTTCCACTGTTTCTGCAGTGAAATGGGGATAATAACACCTTGTTGTATCTGGCTCACCGAATTGTTTTAAGGCTCAACAGAGATACTAATGTAAGCTGTTTTAAAGACTTGAAAGCACTGCGTCAGTTGTTATTGTCATTGACACTAAAAAGGAGAGGAAATTTCCATGTAGTCAATCACAGAATGGACAAAAGGCAGGAGATCAAATTTCCATGTAGAGATTAGTCCAAAGATGATTTTAGAGAGATCCTGAAGAGCCAAATTAATGGGTGGCTTTGAACAGTTATCACTCCAGCACCTCGATGCTACTAACAAATATGACAAAAATTAAACACTTAAATAAAACAAAAGGGTTTGATTTTCACCTTTAAAGTATGATAATTCAGAGAACCTTTCAACCACACGAGAATGTCCAGCCTTACCTTTCCCAAAGAAAAATTTACGGTAATAGTAGGCTCCCAGGTCAATGTGTTCTATGATGTAACGTTTCACTTTCTCCCTGTGAATTGGCTGGTTTTCTCTTGGCACCTCCAAAACCGAAACACCTGCATTGGTGCAGTGGGAGCTGAGGGAGGACTCAAAGGAACAGCTTTCACCCATAGTGGAAGAAGCCGAGTTTGCCCTAGAAAGTGCAATCCTTCTGTCACCCTCCCCACCGGTCTCATTCCTGAAATAGGGACAACTCAGCACAAGGTCATTGCTTTTCCCATCCCCCTCATCAGCATCGAGGTTCTCCTTGGAGTTGAGATCCTCCTTGCTTCCCAAAGGAGATTCACAGTTTCCCACCTGGCCTGCTGTCATCTGAGTCTGTGACGCTGCTGAAGCGCCAGTGGTTATATTTTTTCTTTTTCCCACATTAGCCCTTGTAGCCATGGCTTCATTGATATTAAACAAAATGCTCTGGACATCATAATGTGCAAAACACTTTTGACAATTCCATGGGCGAATGCTCCTCTCAAGCCGACTCTCCTCCAGATCAGATGTGAATTTGAAAGTTTCATGTTCACTTTTGACAGTTCTCAGTTTCCGGAAAAGGGACGTTTCCACTGACTCTGATTTTAACCTCCGCTTGAAATTCTTTTCCCTGTCCCTTCCCATCAGCAGGGCATTGTCCACATATTCTAACCCTGAGATACGTACAAACTCTCCTCTAGAAATCTGTGCTGCGGCATGAAGACTGGGAGAGATCGTAGGATCACAGTGGAAGAACTCGGGAAACCCAAATGGGGCAAGAGCTTTGTGTTGATAATTGTCTACTCTGTACCCTCTGAGCATTGCGAAAAGATTTTCCCCCGATAAACCTTGCCTATCAATTGAAGAAGTACTTCCATATTCCCTGTGTAGGGCTGCCCCAGTATTTGGGTTAACGGCGTTCTGGTCTAAAACATCTTCAGCATCGATGTCACTGATGGTAACATCACTATTGCTTCTCTGTCTTATGGGGTGAAGTCCTCCTCGCTGTGGAGAATGAATAAAAATATCTCCTATGGTATACTTGGTCTCTGCAAATTCTATATCAAGCTGTTCCTCTTGCTGCCCATCACCCTGGTCATTCTGTCCATTCTGCATGACTGCCGCCGCCACTGCAGTTTCATAACTGGTTTGTGATCGGCTCTCCCGTAATGCCTTGCAACTTATCTCCTTCGAGCAGTCCTTCTTAGGAGGCCATTCAGATACCCTCGCTCTAACGCCCATTTTGGGCATTGCCGGTGTGCCATTAGCTGGACCCCCACTTTCGCCGACATTTGAAACATTCAAAGATGTTGGGGGACCCATGTTGCCATTCAAGGCCTTAAATTTTCGAGCAAAATAATCATCCGACTGCATGGTGCGTGGAGAATCCTTAAACTTTGAAGAGGCTCTGGTGAACTGGTGTGTCTCTTCCTGGGACTGCCGTGGATCACTCATGTCCACTCACAGGCAAGTGCCAAGTCTTACCAGGAGGCCTGGTGCCGTTGTAATTACATTTTTATTTACTGCATAAACAACCAGGGAGGGGTTGCTACTGCGTCAAATGCAGAGAGGAAGACTTCTTGGAGAGTTGTGTTCTGTCAGCTGGTAGTTTTGTTTTTCTTTATTGTCGGTTTGTCTGTCTATCTATCTGTGTGTGTGTGTGTGTGTGTATATATATATATATATTTTTTTTTTCTTTTAAACTAAGAGAGAAGAGTCATCAGAATATCAATTCTTCAAAGGCAAGAAAGAACCTCATCAATGCCACCTGTGATGATTGTTAAACATTTTCTTCCTGTTCACCAGTGTTTGGCATGACATCTGAGTAAGAGTACTTCTTTTATCTAAAACGAAAAGGAGAAAAATTACCATTAGCAATGTACATGTTTCAGGTTGAGCAAATCCTGTGATAATACAAAAAATGTTTTTGATAAAACACAGACAAAACAATAAAATGAATAGATCATCTCACAGAATCAAAATATAAAGTGCTAGTCTTGCAAACTCCCCAGGCATTTCTGTCATGGACCTTACATAAATTCTCTTAGGCCCATGCCTCAATTTTTCTCCTTCCAAAGTGCATACAGTTTTCAACAGAGCTGAAAGAGACCTAAGAAGCGACCTAGTCCAGTCTCCCTGTACTTTCTGTAACCACAATATTTTATGAGCTCATGAGTTTGTACTTGTGAATTATTTTGTGCCTTCTAGAGGAAGGATAGCATGTTAGAAAAATGAATCCAAAGTAGCAAATTTCTTTATTTTCTGGAGCAGTTCTTCAGTTCCTGTGTCTGAATGGCTAACTCAAGATTGATGCAGTGTTTCTTTGGTTTTTAAATCTTACTTCATTTGTGTACGAGATTCCAGAGATCTACACTCTACTGAATCCCATTCACTCCCAATTCTAAAAGGAAAAAAAGACACAATAGTCTCAAACATTTAGATAACAATTCAAAGTCTGCAAAGTGCTGTCTGGACTTGGTCATTGGACTCATGATACTACAGGTTATTATTCCCATTTTACAGATGAAGAAACAGAAGAGGAGAGATTAATTCACTTGTATAGGGTTAAACAACTAGGAAGGGTCAGTGGTAGAATTCAAATTTAAGTCTTATTCCTCAATCCAGATCTGTGCTTTTTCCCTTACACCACATTGTAGTTGTTCAGTTGTTTCAGTTGTGTCTGATGTTCTGTGACCCCATATTTGGGGTTTTCTTGGCAGAAACGCTGGAGTAGTTTGCCATTTCCTTCTCCAGCTCATTTTACAGATGAGGCAAACAGGGTTAATTGACTTTCTAAGGGTCACACAGGTAGTAAGTGTCTGAGACCATGTTTGAACTCAGGAAGATGAGTCTTCCTCACTCTAGGACTGGCACCCTATCCATTACGCCACCTAACTGCCCATTATACCATATAGATTACTCCTCCCCCCATAAAAAAGCAAATCCCCAATGGAATAAGCAGGTGAAATCATAGTTTGATGATAAACCAAGAGAATGCAGAGATTCATATTTGAAATTAAATTATAGACACTGTCATGGTATGCTCATCTCAAGCCTGGCATAGAGATAGGAACTATACATTCAGTGGGGCATCTGGGTTAAATAGCCTCTAAATATAAGATTCTATGATTCACATCAGTATTTCAGAGTGGAAAGAGGCTACTTCCAAACCAAACCAATTTAAGAATTCCTTCCATAAGATTCAAGTGGGCCTCAAACCTTTCCTAGAAAACCTTAAGGGAGAGGAATCTACTTCTTTCCAAGGTAGCCCATTCCACTTTCTTGAGGGGATAGCTTTCAAAAGCTGGGGAGATCATCAAACCTAACTTATCTGAGCTTAATACTTTCCTCATCTATAAAATGGATATAACTTCTGCCCTGCCTACCTCAAAGAGCTATTTTGAGGATCAACTGAGGAAAGCAAATCTTTGAATTCAACACTCTATAATTAAAGCAGGTAACCAACCACATATGCAGGTTCATAACATTCATATGCAGCATATCTTTGGTCACTAAAGGTGGACAGAAATTTGACATCATGATGTGTTTACCTTCTTCACCCCAAATATGTTAGTCTTCTAAATATTCTGCTAATTTTAGCTGGGGATGAAACAAAAAGACTAAGTAGAATACATTTTCCCAGTTGGTGACAGTCTGAGTATCTTATTTATTGGATTGTAAACAAAAGAAAAAAACAGCTTCTCTGGTGATGGTAGTGGTAAAAACATTTTTCCTCAACTCTCTGTCACAAGGAAAGAAAAACTTAGTTGGAAAACTTCAAAATCTTAACTGCCTTAACAGTCTAAGAATTGCCTCTAATTGGCTCTTAGAGTATTTAGGACAGATGTGTGGTGTCTCGTTCTGAGGGTGAGGGAAGGAAGGGAACACTTTGTTGTAAGTGTTTCTTGCCTTCTCTACCCTCCCCTACCCATTTTGAAAATGTAGCACTGAGTTAGGACAAGGTCTACGTGCTGTCAGGTCCTACAGAAGCTTTTCTTCCTTCAGCAATCAGGGAAACCATAATGATCTTTCAGGATGTGGCAAACAAAGATGAATGAACAGTCAGAAGCTGTTACACAGAATAATATGAAGTCAATCTGGATGAACAATCTCACAGTTCACTGTGGGGCGAGGAAGAGGGGAAAGAGAATAACTGCACACTCTCCATCTGCTCAGCTCTATTGTAATGAAGGAATTGCTGGTATCTAAAAGGATCAGTGATGATTTTGAAATCAAAAAGTACTTTTCTCCCCACCAAAACAGCCTTCTCACTAAATCATCCCAGAAAAATAGAGGAAGTGAAGACTGAGCAACATATAGGAAACAATACCCTTCCAGTAGCTTTCCGTGGTCAATAAATACTTGCGGATCGATTGTGTTAATGTACTACATGATCTATGTGCACCACGGACCATTTCTGCTGCATACACAATATTTCACACAACTTTTAAGTTGCACAATTATGTATCATCCTTGATGCAGCACTAAGTGGGTGCACAGTAAATACCAATGGCAGTATACCCCTTTACAGGGATTTTGACATAATTTGTAGAAAAAATAGACACATTCAACTTCATGTGACTACGCTATGCAAACAGAATTAACATAGCTAACTTCTAATAACCAGTTGCCAATTATAATGAATGAATGAAGTGCTTATTAATCAATCAATATACATTTATTAAGTGCCTACTATGCACCTGATATTTACTATGAACAAAGAACTGTGTTTTAGTGGATGAAAGGGAATGATAAGTGAAATCTAAAAAAAATTAAAAACCTACCAATTAGCTTCTCTTTCATATAACTTATGTGAATAGGAAACAAATATAATCTGAAAAACACAAGTTTGGCCCCATCTTTCTTCATTTACTCCCCACCTACCTCTAACCAACCCCCTTGTAGAGCTTACTAAAAGAAAAATAGTCAAAGGATAAAAAATTAGAAGTAAAAAGGATATTCCCTATATTACCTTTCTCTAAATCTTACTATATTCTTATTCGTACCCATTCATACTCTGAAATCTCTGACTTCTAGATGCTGGCATAGTTATATATGACTATAATAATCCCATATCTAAATGTCTTATGACTGAAAAATGTGTGGGAGCCCATAGCTCTCAGGTTTTAGAGGAAAGGCATAAATCACTATGAGGTTCTTTCTAAAAACAAAAACCCCTTATCATCATTTTGAGTTTGTAGTTAATTTCACTACAAACTTAAAGACTACACATTTGTCATTGGGGGTATTCCCTCCACTGACTGTCAGAACTCTATAACTTAGTGGCAAAATCTTCAAGACTTGTGGCTGAAAAATTCATCACCCTAGGGCCAACCTAGTGATGAGCCAATCTGCACTCTATTGTACTGTTGCCAGGCCTGTACGCTAAGCCAGTTTTACCTTGTGGTGACAACAGCAGGACTGTAATAATGCTTCAAGAGGTCAATTTTGCATTTCATGAAAGATGTAAAAGCAAATACGTATCTTCAAATTAAGCCCAAAGAACTACTCTGGCTCCCTCTTCTCACTATAGAGATGGAAAGCTATAGATGGAGGACGTTGGGTATACCGTCAGATGTGGCTGGATAGGTTGGTTTTGTAGGAATGTTTTGGGAACCAATATGAAAATAAAAAGCATCAATAAAACTTCCATCAAAAAAGGGGGGAAATACAAATATGGTATATGGATAAGACACTCAGAGAAAAATATTAAAGTATCTGAGGGGCAGGAATTAAGGCATATAGAGGTAGCATTATATAAAGCAAATTGGGTTTAACATACAGAAGCAAACATTCATACAAAAATTATTTTTAAAAAGGGAAATTAGGTAGAAGAGAGAAAATGATAATATCATAACACAATGCTATTTAAATAAAAATCTAGAGGTTGGCATCATAAATATAATTGAACCAGTAATCAAGATTAGAGTCATTGGATCTATGGCAGTATGGTACATAAATGACATAGGGAGTGAGTGATGGGAAGGGGAGGGAAGGGGAGGAGAGAGAGAAGGGGAATCAGGATTAAGGATGGCACAAATTTAAGGAGAGTAGAAGATAACCAGAGGTTGACACAGAGGATGATGGATGAGAGTTCATGCATGTAGTTGTGCTAGCTAATGGGTCACTTAGAGGAGGTATGTTCTAAGATCTTCACTGTAGGTTCTGCTTTAGAAGAAATCATATAAGGACACTTGAAAATCAAGAAGTTAGCTACTTATCAAAGAGGTTAGACCATTATTTCCACAAGAGGACAGGTTGCTTCTCTGAAAGTGGGGAATACCTGTGGCTTATCCATCCACTTACTCTCCCTTGTGACAAAAAGCATGTACTGGCAAGATGAATCACCAGGGTTAGAGATTCAGACTGTGCTAACAGAACACAGTAAAATCAAATGACCTATACAAAGATTTGATTCAAGAAACATATATCAGTATGTTATGTGTAAAGAGTGCTGTGTTAAAACTACAAGAGATTTCAAGTTTAAGTAAGATGTAGCCCCTGACCTAAGACAATTGTAAGATACAAGACTATAGTAAATGTATTAGAGAGTTTCAAAAGCAAGTGTTTGGTGGCATCAGAGGAAGAGGTTAATACCAAAAGTAAATAGCATGTAAAGTCAAGCCTTAAATAATGAGTGGGGAATAGTTTTCAAAAGAAGAAAATCAAAATAATAACAACCACGTGAAAAAAAGTATTTGAAAAAGATGAAAAACGTACATTTCTAAAACATCTCTATAACAGCTAACACAATGCTAGCTAACATTTATATAGCACTTTAAAGTTTGCAACACGCTACATGTGTGTCATATATAACATGCATGTCACATATGCCTATAACATA